ACCTATGTTCTCTCTCCCGCAACTCCCCTGCCTGTGAATCCCCCTTGCCCGGCTGTCCCCCCCGGCTGTGTGCCCCTGCCCACTGTCCCGCAACCCCCCCCTTCTCCTCTCCCAGATTGGCCTCTGCCCAGCAACCCTGCACCCCACCTCCTGGCCCACTGCAATCCTGCTGGGACCCTGTCTCCTCTTCTCTCCTCCTCTCCCCGCCTCCCTGCCGCCCACCAGGATCTCCATCTCCTGTCTGGCTCTCTAAACAATCCCCCCTTCCCCCTCCTGCCACACACACACCCCTACCCAGGAACCCAGGCCGCTTGTGCTGTGTACTGACAATCTCAGCCCTGCCTGGGACCCAGGTGATTCTCCCTCCCCCTTTGTCTGAGGAAGGGAAACTCTGGTGTTCCCAGTGCCCGTGTCCCCAAGTCACTTCCTGTATCAGGCAGGAGAGCTTTATTAAAATTGGAATTGTGATCCCATTTAAATAGGCTTTGTTTTAAATAATGTACCTTAAAATTAAATTAAAAATTGTTATGGCCTAAATTTATCATAACCTATTTAAATAACGTATGAATTACATTTAAAAATTAAATAGAACATGTCTCCTGTCAAGTTTTAAAGAAATTCTACCAGTTCACTAGTGCAAGTACCCAGAACCAGTGTTTACATCAGCAGTAGATTCTTCTGCAGGTGAAAAGAGAATGTTTTTATCACTTTGGTTTATTCAGCTAGTTCAATTCAATGATTAGTTCATTCACCATTGAAAACCAAGAGTTGACGAACCAGAAAAACTTGTTTTCCTCTTCTCTCAGTTAAAAACTAGTTATGAGACCGTTCTAACATCTTGAAGAACATAATGACTAGATTCGATCTGTTAAATTCACTAAGGATATTTCCTTTGTTTAATAAATGAATTTTAGATGCAAAATGTGTTTGGATACTTTTTTTGTTATTTGTCCTTCACATTTAAGGTAGTTTTATTTCATACAAAAATTAAATGCTGGTTTTGTTTATTTTAAATTGAATCTCCATCCAGAGAGAAGTAGGTGCAAATCATATGTTTTAAAAAAAGTAGCCATCACTTAGCAAATAATAAATGGGGTAAAACCTGTCTCTTAGGTGTGCCTATTACACACCTTTTTGTAATAGAATAAAAATGTAAAAATTAAGAATCTGATTACATGTAAGTTACACAATTATTTGGGCATTTATTTAGTTGGTAGCTATACTGAGTGTATTCTCCTGGTTAGTAAATAGAAGCACCAAATTTGGCAAAAAGGTTATATTTAGTTGCAAATCAACATGTTTTAAAGGTTGCTAATCAATAAGACTCAACCACCCTTTAGGAAAAGGTTTTAAAAGTATAATTTAAATGATTAATTGCTAATTTAAACCTAGGTTTTTTGCTTGCCGGTTTAAATTATGATTAAAATTATCGATTTAAATCAAAGCTAATTAAATCAATCCACCCTGCTTTGGAGGCTGTTTGGTCCGTCCCTGAAGGAGAAAGCACAGGGCTGCGCTCATGGAATAGGTCCTAGGCTAGTGGAGTTTTGTTGCCTGGTGCCTGTCTTGTTCTGGACAGTTGAGCTGGGGAGTTGAAACAAAAGTTCTCTTAATCCCTTTGAACTGTTTCATTGTATAATGAGGCTGATTCTTGTCCATGGACGCCAAGAGTTGGACAGCTTATGTGTTGGGGTTGGAGTCTGAGTGATAAGGCTTCTAATAATAAAATCCCTTTGCAGAGTGAGGAGTGGGACCGGGACTCCAGTACTCGGTGATGTGAACAACTGCATGCTTTGGAAGTCTTTAACTGGCTTGCTGTGGATGAACATGCCCTCCCATTGTCTTCATGTGGGGAGTCTCTAGCGCTCTCCTAGGAGATGAAAATGCCTCGGGGTTTGAGCTCCCCCTGAAGCGCACCCCTCACCCCCCAGGAAGCTGCACAAGCTGCATTTGAGCATGCACCCCCAGCAAGCAATGCAAGCTGCATTTGTGCGTGGATCCTTCCCGGACAAAAGGGGGGGGGGGAATTTTTTTGCTTGGAGCAGCAAAAAACCTAGAGCTGGCACTGCTAAATACTGTTTTTTGGCCATCCAGCTCCCAAACTCAGATGGGATTAGCAGAAGACTCAAGTTCTATCTGGTGATGACATAATAAAGAAGATCAGTACGGACTGAGGCTTATTCCTGTAAAAAGGGGTAGCGGTTTATAGCTCAATTGTAGTTTAGTTTTTATTCATGACACTTCATGGTATGATAGTAATCTTTTTAAAAAGTTATATTAAACAGACTTCACTACATCATTGGCTCACGCTTTGTCTGCACTACAGCCAGGCAATACACTTGATCATGAAATCCTCATGCCTAAGGAAACTCCCATTAGTACAGAATGCTGTACTCCATCTCCTTATTAGCATAGGCTACCACAAAAGGACATCAAACTTGTCTTTAAGATTTCCATACTGGCTTCATACGGAAGGAGGTATTCATCTAAAAGACAATCTAAAGCAATACCATTGTTAACAACTCCTCTTCTCAGGCACAAGTTAACATTCCACAAAAAGGGTAAATTCAGTCTGTTTAGGAGACAGGTTCTCAGAGGGGCCAGTCCAAGATTGTGGAAAAAATTCTTACGTGAACTAAGGATCATCACAAGATCTAACAGATATATTGGTGGTGACAAACAGTGATGGGGGAGTATGCAAATCAAAGGTTTTTTTAATCTTGTTCACCAGAAACAGTGGTATGTCTAGGCTGTTTTTGTCTGGTCTGTAAACTAAAATAAATCATGACTGGAGACAGAGCAGTGCTAATCTGGATATCCAAAATGTAAATCAGCAAACTACACTGCACCTTGCAATTGAAGACTGGAATGAGATATCATAAGTGTGCTTACAGTCAACTGCCCCAAAAGCTGGGGGCAGTGTCTGGTGAAATATAATGTTTAGTTTGCACGGTTTCTAAAAGCATGGAGAGACTGATGAATCCTTTGTGGTAGGAGCTCTGTCACTCAGAAAGAAACCAGGATTGGCTCCCACAAATTCTAGTCTCTATACTTGAATTAATGATGACTTTTGTATGTTGATTCTGAATAAATCCAAAGTTATATGGGTAATGTGCTGAGATTCAAAGGAGCATGATCTGAGTTGACAACTGTTCAGGTAAGGGTAGGTCATGATGCCCAGTAAGCATAAGTGAGCCACTATCAGAGACAGGACTTTGGAGAATACTCTGGGAGCCAGTGAGAGGCCTCTATACCAGTTTCTCAACCAGTGGTACGAATACTTTTAGGGGCACTCGAGAGAAGTCTGGGGAGTATGTCAACACAACTGAAATTTGGAGAATTTTTGTTTTAAGTTTTACAGCACTTTATTTTTGTACTTTTTAAACACCCAAAAATTTCATCGCTTGCCCAGCTATGATTAAGTTGTTTAAACAAATGTGTTGCAATAGTAGAAAAAAAACTGTGGGAGTCTGAAAACTGTAAGTACTGGGGGTACTTATAAATTTTGTTAAAAGGGGGTACATATTTTTTTTAAAAAAAAAAGGCTTGAGAAACACTGCTCTATACTAGTGGTGGCCCTGTGAAGCTGTGATTGAAATATCGATGTAAGAGTCTTTTGGATTGAGAGCCAAGAACTAGTCTCACTGTCTCAACATGGAAAAAACTGTTGCTAACGTGACCATCTTGAATTTCTGACAAAGTGACAAATTTGTTGACTGCCCTGAGGTCTAGTATGGGTCTTCCCTTTTTCTTGGGTATCAGGAAGTAACAAGAATAAAAACCTTTGCCTCTTAGCTGTTGAGGTATGCATTCTATGGCTCTAATGCTGACGGGGTGGTGTATCTCATGTCGTAACAGGCTCTCATGAGAAGAGGCCATAAAGGATAGGAAAAGGTATTGTGGGGGAGAGGAGGAAGGGAGATGAAATGGAGTACCATTCTGGCACCCATTTGTCAGAAATTATCCGCTCCCAGGCACCACAGAATGGGACAAGACATCATCCACAAAGATGGGAACGTTGGATAGAGTTAGATGTCATCGAAGAGAGTGATCTCACAGCACATCAACCAACCTCTCCAAACTGATGCTTTACCAAAAACATCCTTCCTCTCATGTTAAGATTCTAAAATAAGATAGAGAATGGAGGAATATTCTCTTTCACCAATGACAAAACCTCCCAATAATTAATTACATTTTGAGGTTTATCATTAAAGAAAAAAACTAAGGACTTGTATTAAATGAAAGATTAGGTCTCCAATCAATCATTTCACACTCCCTATTAAAATTGCCAGAATGATGAAAAATCTTTGGCATCATGTCAGCTAGATAGGAACTAAAATCTAGTTTCTTTTTTTAAAAATTGTGAAAGTATTTATTTTAAAAACACTTTTAGGATACACTTGCATAGGATGTTATCTTTCAAGAATTTAGTTAAAATAAGTGATATAAAAGTAGAGATGTTAAATGTGTTTATTTTTGTAAATGTGTAACCACGAAATTTACAGTGGTTGCATCTAACATGCAGGGAAGAGGGTTGAGGTCAGGCAGGAGCTTGTAAACTCAAGCTTTTAAGCCAGATCCCTGCGAGCACCAACTCCCACCTGCCCTGCCTCTCCTCCACACCATCCTGCGCTACTGCCGCTGCACTTCCTCAAGGAGGCTCTGCAGCTGGCTCCCCAGGAGCTGCCAGCCCCACACCCAGGGAATTAGCATGTAATCTTCTGTGGGGTGGCCAAGCCAGGCAAAGCCAGGCCCACCATGTCATGGAGGGCTTGCTCTGGCTGGCTGGCCACAGCAACCCCTGCCTGCGGTGGGCCTGTGGAGCAGGAGCAGATACCTGGTAAGGAGTTGATCTAGCCCCTGCATTTAATCAGAACTGGTAAACATTGCCAGTTTAGGGTGATGCTTACTAGTTAACTGGTTAATCTTTCACATCCACAGTTCAAATTAGATTGAAATATTATAGATTCACCCTGGATTGAATCTACTAATTGAGGCCAGTGTGACATCTGGCTTTTGAAAGAAGTGAGGAGAAAGACACTGGGTTTATAATGAAAAGCTCATTTGAAGCCTCAGCTATGGAACAGAATATTGCTGCATAATGTAATGAATTCAAATTAGACTCTCAGATGCAAGGACCGCAGAAAAATAATCCAGTCAATCTTTTCCTGAATATACTGTAAATCAATTTATAAAAAAGGAACACTTATCAACACCGGGATGAGGTAAAGATGGTTTCTTATATTTATGTAGCTATGTTTAATCCTAAACATTCAAATGTTTCGTTATATTTGGAATTTACTCTTTTCTCCCTGCTGAAAAAACATTTTATGATGTCCCGAGTGCATATAGCTGTTTCACAAAGAATCCCAAAGCATATTTTTCCAAAGGGATTTTTGTCTAGAAAGACATAGGAAGTTTAGACTCAGTTATTTTTTTTTTTTTACATACTATTGTCTGTGGTATTTAAATGAAGATTGTTAGCAGTTACTCCCAGCTATTCTCTTCTGCAGCAAATAAACTGTTCCATATTAAAATTAAAAAAATAATTTTCAGATTCTGAAAGCATAGCTACCGTATTTGTTAGAATACAGTATATATTAATGGAAATAATATCTGCAAAATAAATATTTGTAAATGTCTTTCCCAAGAAATATTTCAAAAGTTTTTCCAAAATACTGGCAGGCTACTTAGATTAGTGGTTTTTAAAAAAGCAAATGTATGCATATTAGTATTAAACACATTACCAAAATCACCAGCTCTTTAATAATAAAGCACAAATATTTTCCATTTCCCAAATAATTTCTGATTTTGCTAAGAACAGGAAAACAGCTCAATACTATGTCATAAAATGTAAGATTTATATAAAAATTAAAACTAGATAAATAATTAAACTACAAGGCCACTTAGGCCTGAGATTAAAAAGCCTATTATTATTCACAGCACTTTTCACTAATCCAAAAAACAGGTTACACAATCTATTGTGGCAGCAGGGTTATTTTCCTTTCAAATCTGCCTAAAGACCTTCTCTTGCTACCACCAGAGCTTTTTATTTTATTTTAGCTCCACAGAGTTTCTAAGTATAGTGACAGCCACATCAGGCTTAACTAGTAGCAGTGCAAGCTCAGTGCAAATCTGGGAAATATAAGTGGAAACATGAGAGACTGCTTTATTTGGCATTGCTAAAAAAATATCAGGACAAATGGCTAAGCAGTGTGGGGACAGCAGGATGAATAATCAATGAGCAGAGAGCAAGATAGAGACTCCCTCAGATTCTGGATCGACAATCAACAGCTGAGAGACTATTTTTTGCAATGGTTGACTAAATATGGTCAGGGAAGAGAGAGGCACAAGAGAGCCTGTTTGCCTGGGAGTGCATGTTTCGAATGCTTAGCTGCCTATAAAGCTGTAACAGTTTTGCTCATGCCCTCTGAGTAGGAAATACAGTTAGTTTCTTCTACAGTCTCCATGTGGGAGCCCTGACCTCACTAACAGACTTGACCTCTGGAGATGGAAAGTAGCTTCAACACAGATCTGCCTACAGTTAAGCCTGGAAACTTAACCTCAAGCAAGAACAGATGCAGTGCAATACTTAAGGAGCAGAAAGAAATCTTTATTTTTGGTCACTCCAACTTTTTCTCTGATTATTATCATCTTACAGTGGGCTGAGTTTACCTTCCCAGAGATTCCTAACATCTTTCCTTGGACACTTAATTTTTAGCCCACAAGACACAAGGTATTAATTTCTACGCAACATCATCCATATTTTAATCATTCCAAGAAAAGTAGCAGCACCAAGTAAGCTTCATTGTTCACACTATTTTGCTTTGAAGTTTTATCTATTTAAGGTGGTAAGATACTATATTCACTGACACTCCCCTTATTCCCCCTTGCATGTAACGAAGAGCTGAATCAGACAAACACTCAGGATGATATGGCTGCTGCTGATGTATCTCTCTAGGTCATTAGCTCTCTTTCAACTGCAAATACTGCATGATACTAAACTTACAGGTAATAGAATGCAAGGAGGCCTGTGTTATTCTGCACATTTAAAGGATACCTATGACTTTCTGCATGTTTAACTATTTACTAGACTGTTTTATTGTTATAGTAATACCTCTATTCTGGATATCGCATAATTTCAGTGTATCAAGCATTTGTAAAGAGCAGATTAGCAAAAACTCTAAAAATCCAAATATCACAGCAAATATTTGACAGATCTTTTATCAGATATGCTCTGGTAGTATATTGTCATGCAATGATTTCTAAAACTCAAAATGGTTTAATTTAGTGAGAAACATCATCTTACCTTACAGATCACACAAACATTTTAAAACTATATTTTATAACTATATTTTTAAAAAGTCAATAGTATTCACTGCTTAACTCCAAAATATATTTGCCAGATTTTTATAGTGCTCTGCCTTAGATGAACATGAAAACAATTAGTTTTAAACCTACAATGTGCGTGCTGTAATTCTAATGCTGCATTGCTGTTTCTCCTTGTAGTACTGTGCTAGCTACTGCCACACTCTGATTTGCTCTCTATCAGCTGCACTAGCTTTTTGTCATGAGCTGCAGAAATGTTAACTTCCCCTGCTCTCACCTTTTCCGACTATTATTAAATTTACTAATTTGTAAAGTTAATTTCAAATTAGCATTTCTAACACTGGAAAGGCAAAGTCTACTCTTGCTTTAACTGAAACCCACTATTTAAAAAAAACCTACTAGCTATAAATTAGGCAATCATAATCTTCGTCTGGCAGCTTTTAAAAGTCACATCTTGCCAGCCCTGAATTGTTTACTGATCATTAAAAACTGATCATGTACCACTAAACCACATAAAAGAATGTTAGGAAAGAGGATAAATTTCAATTAAAAAAGATGAACGTTTATGCAAACTGTCATTAATATTGCAAGCCTAAAAAAGATTATGCGATTGAAGTAGGTGATTGACTACACAAACTCAAAAAAACTATTCCAGAAGTGCTGAATAAGCATTGGCTCTCACATGTGACCTATGGCCTGCTAAAAGCCCAAATCCTGTCTCAATGGTTGTTTTTTTTTTAATTCTGTGTCTTCATCTTTTCAATCAGCATGATCATCAGCATTGTGGGAGTTTGGCAGGTGAGGGTTTTTTTTTTTTTTTTTTTGGTTGGTTGGTTGGGTTTTTTTTAAAGTCTGAATCTGCCCTAGAAAGAATCTAGACCTAGGACATGTGGGAAGAGTTGGCAGGATTTTTTGAGGGGGGGGTTGGGTGGGGTGACGGGGAGCTTAAAGTTATTTCCTTCCATCATATTAGATGAGTTTATACTTCCATTCAGGATGCTAAATGCAAAATTATACCAGCATGGAAATCTGGCAGAAGACTCAAAGAAAACTGAACTTCTTATGGTGGACTACAATTATCCACTTCACTGAAGTACTTTGCAAAGCCACTCCTCAATGACATGTCTATCTTCAAAGATGGCCAATCAGAATGAACACCAAGAGACAACAAAAATCTGGACAAGTGCATCAAACGTCCATGTCATCACAGAACATGAAACTGTAATATGCTTTAAGTCACTTTGCAGGTAAATTGCATTGTAAAGTTCAGTCTTAGTAAAAAAGTTAGTTTATAATAATTTTATTGTAAGATTGTTCTTTAAAAAAAATGACAATATGCATTTGCATCTTCTAACAAGGAAAGGAATGAAAAAGTAAAATACTTTCAGATTCATTTGACAGACAGCTGATCAACTTATGTATTCCTGCCCAGATTACATACTTCTTTATGTACCCATATGAACATACAATGCTATGGAATGTAAAGAAGTATGTATTTTTGGCAGGCACTGAACGACCTGTAAGAGGAAACTAAACTGCAGCGGAAGAAACAGGTCTCCTATTGTTTGAATGACTTTCATGTGGCAAATTAACTTGGGAAGGGTCAGATGACACTGCCAAAGTAAAATGACTTATTGCTAATGAATCATGAAATATTATCCCAAGTCACTTACTTAGAGGGTGGATAGAGAAAGTTCCGTTACTGGTTGTAGATAAGTTTTGAGCAAAATTTTAATAATTTCAAAATATACATATGGAAATGCAAATAGTCACACTAGAACACACTGCATAAAATCTACAGAGTATTTACAAAACTGGATTATCAATCTTATTCATAATATTTAAACTCTAACTTTCTAATTAGAAATGAAGCATGTAATTTAAAAAAAAATCTTAAGTGTGCAGACCATGCACTGATTCCAAAATAAAGTTTGCCTAATAATCCACAGAAACCGAGTCTAGTAGTAATTAACAATGTAAGAAAATACTTGGAAGTTAGCCTTTGACTTAGAAAGCAGAGAAGAAATAGGTTGTCAAAATAAATGTAAACTATCATATACAAAATCTTACATTTTAGAGATAAAGTTGTCTTTCTGCAAATCAACCTTTATTAAACTCATTAAAAGCTTGGATGGAATAAATTGCCGTGTCAGGTTCATGCACGTAAAAGTAACAATGCAGAGATTTCTAGGCCAAAGCTGCCATTCAACAGATTATGGCTAATGACAGATTCCAAAATGAAAATGCAGCAATGACAGAACACAGGATTTCTACATTTTTCTGAAAAATGTACTCTAATTTTAACAAAACTTTCTAAGAAATTCTGAATGACATATGAAATTATCACCTAAAATTTCAATTTTCAATTATGAAACCTCTCTATGTTTGGTAAACTACTCAAAAGTTTACCAAGTGGTATGTAATTTATTTATTTCTAAAATTAATGTTAACTAAAATACACCATCACGTTCAGACTCTGACTAAAATAACTTACAACAAAAAAATCTTAATTAATGAATGCATCTACTCATTTAGGTATAGCAATTACGGGAAACTACACATAGTAATTATTGCATATGATATATTTGCCATACAGGTACAAATGACCCAGATTAAAGAATAAAGACTCTGAGTACAGTCAGTTTAGTATTTTTAAAATTCTGGGATCGTTTCTTGTGTGAGGAAAGGAAACTCTCAAATGTAAGAGACCCAACGATAATTATGCCTTCAAAAACATTAGTATATTGGGATAAGTATGTAATTTTTCAACAGACATATTTTAATTTCCACAAAATACAAAATATTAGGTTTCAAACTTTTTTTAAAAAGTGTATTTAGCTGGAACTGTAGAATTAAGAGTTAGGCAAAAAGGAATCAAACTATTGTAATTGTGTTCATGAGGAGACAATTGCTGTCTTTTTAATTTAACTTTTAATAAATTAGCCTGAAAGTTATTTTCCACGTGATCAAATACCTTGGAATACACATGTATAAAACTCCAACCTCTAAATTACAAGCTGGTTTATAATGGAAAAAAGCTAAATGATAGCAATTCTACTGGGTTTCATAATGTTGTTTAGCTTCTAGGCTTGTAATGGACGGATCTGTGGACAGAGAGCCAAATTCACTACTGGAGTAAATGGTTCATTTGCTTCTCAGAAGCTTTCCTTCTCATGTCAGCAATTGGTTTGATCTTTAATCTACATATTGGACTAATTTTATTAAGGAACAAGCTTATTTTGACAGGTTCTTTATAACAAGTCACTAATGCTGAATCCACTATGCCACAATAACACAGCAATTCAACTATAAAACAAAATGAAAGATCTCAAAGAGATATAAAAGTTAAAATTATATATTGACACTGCTTCTTGCTAGCTCATGTTAACATATCTCTAAGAATACACTCAGTCACTCTAAAATGTCACCTCCAACACTTAGATCAGCTGTTCAATTTTAACTGAGCACATGCTGAACTCTGGGCATCTGCTGACACTGTTGTAACTCAAATATTTCAACTGTGTGACTGACAGGGATAACAGATGCTGACATTATCAAATGCTACACTGCTGTTTTCCATGGCCCCTTTTTTTGCCCCGATATGGCCAGTACATGAAACAGTATTGCAATCCAAAAGCATACTTGAGCAGCTGGATCTGTTAAACAGCTCCTGTGTAACTGGTAAAAATAGAAGCCACTTTCATAGCTGTCTTTAATGCTTAAGTTCAAATGACACACCTGCTATGTTTCTATTAGGATAGATGGTATAAAGAATATATTTACATAAATTTCATCAGCAGATTTCACAACAAACAGATGAAGACAACACCTGAGAGGAGAATTATTAGTGCATGGTTTGAACTAATGTCTACCTGGCAAAGCTTTTAAAAAAAAGTCTGAGGTCTTCAAATGCAGTATTTGTATGTTTAGTGATCTACTGCAGTTTACAAGCACAAACTGCCTTTAAGAAAATGCATGAAATATAAGCACGTTTAACTTTACTCATAAAAGATATATTGTGTGTTAAGGAACCATCACACTAAAAGGGCTCAGCAACATTACTTTCAATAAAGAACATTCGAAATTGCTCACGTTGAGTGTTTGAACAAAAAGAGAAAACGTATAAACAAAAAAATTCCCTCATACTATAATGAAATATACGTAAATTCTTACAGCGTACACTAATTAGGAATGTACTGAAAAAGAATGAAAAGTACTTAACATTTATAAGAGAAAGGCTAAGATACTCTTCTTTCCACAACCTAGTCTGTTACTTGTGCTAATCAACTATTGTACTAAAGCAGCAATAAGATACAAGCAGGGAGGGGGCGGGGAGAAGGAGGAAGGAAGTGTTGCTTTCTTCAATGCAATTCAATGTAATGAGTAAGAGGAATAAATGTGAGTAGTTCAAAACAAAACTCCAAAATACTATTCCAAAATTAAACAAAAGGAAAAATGTTTAAAATTGCATCTGACCTTTGACATAAGCCTAGTTTACAGTTACAAACTGTACATAAAAAAAGATTCTAAGAGAGTATAGATTGGTATATCATATAATGCATTCTTGGGTAAATCTTTCCTTTCTACCCTCCCTCCAAACAAAAATGACTTAAAAGTTAAATCTTCAATTGCTTTAAAACTTAAAAGCAGTGTCAATACGTGTAATGTTTGTAACTGAAAAATCTATATGTATGTGTACAGTAAAACTCAGCTGTTTTGTTATAAAAATTAATCAACTTCCTGCACTCCAATGCTTTGCTAAAGCTGGTAAAATGGAACCAAATCACCTCTTCAATGGATTTGGTCCCCTTCAACCAGCTGTAGCTATGCATTGATCACTACAGGACAGCAAATATTTTCAGCAATGGATTTAACACTTGTATAATAGCAACTTTGCTTCAACTATTCTGGACGAATTAAGTACACTCACATTGTCAACAGTGAAAGTATGGCATACAGTTATACTTCAAGATGTTCCAGAGGCTGTATTTGTAGATAAACAATTACCTGTGTTTCACTTTCTGTTCTTATTTTGTAAAAGTTATGCCAATGATAATTTCTACAAAAAAAATTAGGCTTTCAAATAAATTGATTGTTCACTGATGTATTGCTTCCCAGTTTTTCTTAAGGTTTCTCCTGCCTGCTTTAAATCACACAAAAAGGGGGGAAGGGAGGAAAATGTACTTCACCATCCTATTTATTCTACTTCAGAGGCATTATTTTTCTAACAATACTGTCCAAGAGAGGAAATTCCTCAGGGGAGCAACTATATTTGCATCTTGTACATGTTGAAACTTATTTACAAGTAAGAGATAATAAATTTGTCACTGACCTCGATGCTACACTCTAATTCACTACCTAATCAAAGGTCTAACCATGATAGATTTATTCGTTCCCCACTCACATTTAGAGAAGATGTTTGTGAAAGCATTTTCTGAACTTATTTCTATACTTTAATACCTTAAAGTATTTCTCTTCCCAAATTGGATCACATGGTCTTACTTAATTAAGTGTAAATATCAAGCCAAGGATACTCAATTTGAGATATTAATTGTACTATTCTTTAGGTTATATACACAAGACAACGCAGAATCACAACGCTTGCAATTATGGGAACAAGTGCAACACTCACTTTTGACAGCTATATCCTTTAGCTCAAAATATTTGAAGCAACAGACGATTTCTAGACAAGTTAAATATAACTATGATTATGGTAATTTGGAAAAATATTATTAACCAATAATAGTGGTATTTTAGTTTCTATTTGGTGGTTGAAAAATCTGGTAAAAGGTATGAACATATCTTAAAATTGGGGAAATGTTTTTACAACTTTGATCAATGGGGGTTCATAATCTGTAGGGGAAACTGCATGACCCTCATGACACATAAAAAAGCCTGAAGTTTAAGTTTCTAACAATAAGGTCTAATGTAACAAGGTTGTCTGTTAAATAAAAATGAAGCTTCTATACATGTCCTCCATCTATCTTAAACATACTTGTTTCTTCTTTCTCAGCAATTCCTTTAAGCAAGAAGTATATCTATGGTACATACCAAATAAGGGCTAATACATTTTACACACTACTACAAAAGCCAAGAAAACACCATTCTGTATTGATTATTGTTATTTGATACATATATATACAAATGGAGGTAAAATTCTACTTTTTACAACAATTAAAGTAGAGCATCAGGATGCTGATTATTAGCAGTAATCTATATATGACATTAAAACACACTATATCCACACAAGCACATTTTCATAGAAGGATGAGGAGAAAAAAATTCTGAACTAACTAAAACTATAGACCTCTTAACTATGTATTGTCTTTTTCTACTTAATATCTAAGATCAATTAAACATGTAGTGATTTTTTTCAGATTATTAATTAAAACAAAGCATTACATAAGAACATAATAATGGCCGTACTGGGTCAGACCAAAGGTCCATCTAGCTCAGTAGCTTGTCTGCCGACAGTGGCCACTACCAGGTGCCCCAGAGAGGGTGGACCAAAGACAATGATCAAGCGATTTGTCTCCTGACATCCTTCTCCAGCCTATGACAGACAGAGGCCAGGGACACCATTTCTATCCCCTGGCTAATAGCCTTTTATGGAACCAACCTCGATGAAATTATCTAGCTTCTCTTTAAACTCTGTTATAGTCCTAGCCTTCACAGCCTCCTCTGGCAAGGAGTTCCACAGGTTGACTACACGCTGTGTGAAGAAGAACTTTCTTTTATTAGTTTTAAACCTGCTATCCATTAATTTCATTTGGTGTCCTCCAGTTCTTCTATTATGGGGACTAATAAATAACTTTTCCTTATCTGCCCTCTCCACACCACTCATGATTTGACATACCTCTATCATAGCCCCCCTCAGTCTCCTCTTTTCTAAACTGAAAAGTCCCAGTCATTTTAACCTCTCTTCATATGGGACCCGTTCCAAACCCCTAATCATTTTAGTTGCCCTTTTCTGAACCCTTTCCAAGGCCAAAATATCTTTTTTGAGGTGAGGAGACCACATCTGTACACAGTATTCAAGATGTGGGTGCACCATAGTTTTATACAGGGGCAGTAAGATATACTGTATCTTATTTTCTATCCCTTTCTCAATAATTCCTAGCATCCTATTTGCCTTTTTGACTGCTGCTGCACACTGCATGGAAGTTTTCAGAGAACTATCCACGATAATTCCAAGATCTCTTTCCTGATTTGTCATAGCCAAATTAGCCTCCATCATACTGTATGTATAGTTGGGGTTATTTTTCCCAATGCGCATTACTTTACACTTATCCACATTAAATTTCATTTGCCATTTTGTTGTCCAATCACTCAGTTTGGTGAGATCTTTTTGGAGTCCCTCACAGTCTGCTTCTGTCTTGACTATCCTTAACAGTTTGGTATCATCCGCAAACGTTACCACCTCACTGCTTACCCCTTTCTCCAGATGATTTATGAATAAGTTGAACAGGATTGGTCCCAGGACTGATCCTTGGGGGACACTACTAGTTATCCCTCTCCATTCTGAAAATTTACCATTTATTCCTACTCTTTGTTTCCTGTCTTTTAACCAGTTCTCTATCCACGAAAGGACCTTCCCTCTTATCCCATGGCATTACAAATAAGACATTAAGAAATAAGCAAAGAAAAATGGCAATACACGAAAACCCTGCAATTCAATATATTTCATGATGTTAGATAAAATATGCTGATATAGGTTGAACATTTGTAGTCTAGCACCCTTAAGACTGACCAATGCCAAACTAGAGAATTGGAAGAATGACAGGAGGTCAATGTTGTCTACCAGCATTACCTACACTTTCACTGCTTACTAGGCTCTTAGAAAACATTTCGGGGTAAATTAGAGTTAAACAACAGCACAGAACATTGAGAGCCAGGTCTGGTGGCTGTAAACACACTTTAAGGGATTGCAGGGGAAACTTGGCCATACCCATGATAATACAACATCCGGCTAACTAAAATCATGATGGACTGCTGATGTTGCCAGACCAAAGAGTGCTGGACTAGAGAGGTTCAACTGTAGTATCCAAGTTAAACCACATTTACCTTAATGATCGACAAACATGAAAAACTATCAAATAAAAGTTAAACCATAATTTTTAATAGCATGCTTCTATTTCCTGTGACCAAATGATGCTGAGAGTGTAAATTTATATGAGATTGAGAGAGACAGGCTAAATGTAAAGCATCCAGTATTGAAGGTCAACATTTAAAGATTATTAGACCTTTATTGAAACAAACAACAAAGCTTTACTAACACACCAACTATCTCAAATCTCCTATTTTTGGGGAGGAGCCACCTAAATCATAACAGAACTCCTCCAGAAAATTGTAGAGTCTTTAGCTAGCGGATCATATCTCCATACTATCCAAGAGCCTTCCCATATGAGGGAAAAACAATAGCAGAGATGGGGAAAATCTTGGATGTCAAATATCTACGATAGGTCTTTTAGAACAACTGCCTTCTATACTACTGACAAGGTGCTAACACACTTAAAGATTCACAGTTGCTCTTAATATGGTCTGCCTGCTGTTTTATTATTAGGACTAGCAACCGGTCATGAAGTGCAATATAGGGGTGTAGTAGACACCCAACTGCTTCTGCATGTCAACTTGGGAAGTGTCAAGAAAACTTGCCATCATCCATCTAATCTTTTAATAGTAAATGTACTGTATAACCCAAGCATTTCTGAAGTAAATTAAATCTTTTTAAATTTGGCAAGAAGTTTAGGCTCTTTTGTGATCTGGTCTTCACAATTATTCATGTCTGTGGCCTTGAGACTGGATTATTGCAGTACTCCTCACACATGTCTATAGCTTCAACCTATGTAAAAATTACAGTTAATCTAGTAAAACATCAAGATCTCACATGACACTATGGGAACTCATAAGATGCAATGACTACACTAGTTTCAAACTCATTTCCAGATAAATATGCTAGTTTTGACTCAAAGCCTTAAGTAGTTTGTCCCTCCTACTTAAACAGACTGCCACTTTTGTTTTTAAAAGTTACAGACTAACAAGGCTATCCTTCTTCTTAAGCTTGTTACCTCTTAAGTCTCCTATAAAGCGTGGGTTTGCACAACACTGAGAATTGTCAAACTAGAGCTCATTTGGATCAACGTGGGTTGGTTCCATACAGGGTACCATCATGGAAGAGAAGGCTTTTCGCTCCCAAAATTTTCCTCTGGGATCAGACAACTTTAGTGGTCCACAAAGTAATTGTCTCAATGAATGAGTGGTTTTGACCCTAAATACAGAGAACTATAGTAATCTAGTCTTGAGGTGAACATCATACGGAAAAGGGATGTAATAGTGAAGTCAATTAACCGATAAGCAAAAGCTTATAGGTTAATGCTTTAGACTACACACGTTCCTCCCCTGGCCCCCAAGTAATTTTTTTAGCAGGATGACCAGCAACCTGTCTCAGTCCTGGCTCGCAATGGGTCTGGGACCTACCCCTGCTGCGGCTCTGAATTTAAAGTTTATTAGGAGCTAGGCTGGGAGGCAGCCCGGCTCAGTTCTGGCTCATGGCAGGTCCAGGAGCACAGACTACCCTGTCCCGAACAGGGACTGTTGCCAGTGTGCAAGGGGAGCTGGTTTTAAAACTGGCTCCCCTCACAGACCAGCTCCCACCTGGCACCCCACACTGCTTCCTCTGATACAATATCAGACACAGCAGCAAAGAGTGGCGGGGGCTCTTCGGAAGT